TACATCCTAACTTTTGGGGACGATGGCACAAAAAGACAGGACAACGGAGATCCAACGGCAGAAAACTATTCTTTCAAACCAAGGGCCACAACAGTCTTTCCATTAATGGTCGTTTAATATAAACCGTCAACCACCTCATCTCAGCCGATAATTAAATCAAAGTAATATGCCAATTTATTTCTAAAACTACGATAGATTAGATCCCATGAGTCTAATATTAAAGAGAATTATATTCTGGTTTATTATAAACTTTTATAATACCTATGGAAACATATTTGCTTAAAATACATATTTTCTTAAATTTAATTCATGATAACAATTTTTTATATTTAAGAAATTAAAACAACTATTTTTTAATAAGATTGAAAATAAAAATCTATTGCAAGATTGTTGGACAAGGATATGCCATTTTTGACACCTGGAAGGCTGGAAGTTATAATGCGAAAAAGAAAAGTTGAGATTGAAACTATGAAAGGTGGACGCTTCCTGAAGCGACGACAAGTAAAAGGACTACTGAAAGTGACAGAGATACAAACGGTTAAATAATTATACAACTATTTTTTTTTCATCTTTCATTTTGAATTAAAAATTATATATTTGGTACTAATATTTATTTAATTTAAAGGGAAAAAGACAGAAAAATAACACTTGAATTTCATAATTCCCAAATGGTCTGCTGAATTTGAGAAATCTCAATTTGGTCTCAAGAGACGAAACTAGGATTATCATGTTAAAAGAAAAGACCAAATTACCCTTCATTTTAAATATTGTTTTTAAAATATCACAGCCCCTACTGGCCGGCCGGTCACCGAAGCTCCAGCTGCGGTAGTCACCAGAGCTTCGGTGACTAGCTGACAATTGGTCACTGGAGCTCCGTCAGTCAGAAAAAATTTTTTTGAAAATTTTTACAATTTCAGTATAACAGTTAACAACTTTTATAGTGTTATTAACAACTTCAGTATAACAATTAACAACAGGTTTTATGGGAAATTCAACAAGCTCCGACAGCCGGAAATAATTTTTTTTTAAATTTTTACAATTTCAGTATAACGGTTAACAACTTTTGTAACGCTATTAACAATTTCAGTATATCAGTTAAGAACAGATTTTTCAGAAAATTCAACAATTGGTCACCGGAGCTTTAACGGAGAAAAACAATGTTTTTGAAAATTTTTACAATTTCAGTATAACAGTTAACAACTTTTGTAACCCTATTAACAATTTCAGTATAGCGCTTAACAACAGGTTTTTTAGTTTATTAACGGCAAAAAACCTGTTGTTAACTGCTATATTGAAGTTATTAATAGGGTTACAAAAGTTGTTAACCGTTATACTGAAATTGTAAAAATTTAAAACAAAAAAGTAATTGTTAAAGTTATAAAAATGCTATTTTTTGAATTTTTTTTAAAAAAACCTATTGTTAAATGCTATACCGAAATTGTTAATAGAGTTACGAAACTTGTTAACGATATTACTGAAATTATAAAAATACTACTTTTTGAATTTTTCAGAAAACTTGTTAACCGTTATACTAAAATTGTTAATAACATTATAAAAGTTGTTAACAGTTATATAGAAGTTATAAAATTTTTAAAAAAAGAAAAAGTAGTTGTTAAAGTGGTAAAATTCTTTTTTTTAATTTTTAAGAAAACATGTTAAATAATATAATAAAGTTGTTAATAGAGTTACGGAGCTTGTTATCGGCATTATTGAAGTTGTAAAATTGCTACTTTTTGAATTTCTCGAAAAACCTGTTGTCAATAGTATTACAAAAGTTGTTAACCGTGATATCAATGTTGTAAAAATTTTCAAAAACATTGTTTCCTGCCATCGGAGCTCTAATGACCAATTGTTGAATTTCTCAAAAAACCTGTTGTTAACTGCTATACTAAATTTATTAATAACATTACAAAAGTTATTAACTATTATATTGAAGTTGCAAAAAATTTTAAAAAAAATTATTTCCGATCACTAAAGCTTGTTGAGTTTCCCAGAAAACCTGTTGTTAATTGCTATACTGAAGTTGTTAATAGAGTTACAAAAGTTGTTAACCGTTACACTAAACTTGTAAAAATTTTCAAAAAAATTGTTTTCTTCTGCCAAAGCTTCGGCGACTAATTGTTGAATTTTCTGAAAATCTGTTATTAACTAATATACTGAAATTGTTAATAGCGTTACAAAAGTTGTTAACGGTTATATTGAAATTGTAAAAAAATTTTAAAAAAATTGTTTCCTGCTGCTGAAGCTTGTTGAATTTTCCAGAAAACCTATTGTTTACTGCTATATTGAAGTTGTTAATAGCATTATAAAAGTTGTTAACCGTTATACTGAAGTTGTAAAAATTTCCAAAAAAAATTTTCCAACCAATGGAGCTCCGGTGACCAATTGTCGGCCGATCACCGGAACTCCAGTGACTGCCGCCACTGGAGCTCCGACAATCTGCCAGCCAGTAGAGGCCGTGATATTTTAAAAACAATATTTAAAACGAAGGGCAATTTAGTCTTTTCATTTAACATAATAATCGCCATTTGGTCTCTTGAGACCAAATTGGGATTTCTCAAAATCAACAGACCATTTGGAGATTATGAAGTTCAAGTGTTATTTTTCTGCCTTTTTCCCCATTTTAAATTCGAACTAATTATATTAATTATTTTAAGGGAAAAAGGTAGAAAAATGCCACTTGAACTTCATAATCCCCAAATGGTCTGCTGAATTTGAGAAATCCCAATTTGATATCAAGAGACCAAATTGGGATATCATGTTAAAGAAAAAGACCAAATTGTCTTTCATTTTAAACATTGTTTTTAAAATATCATAGTCCCCACTAGCCGACCAGTCGCCGGAGCTCAAGCGGCGACAGTCACCGGAGCTTCGACGACCGGCCGACAATTGGTCATCGGAGTTCTGTCGGTCGGAAAATTTTTTGTTTTTGAAATTTTTACAATTTCAGTATAACGATTAACAACTTTTATAATGCTATTAACAATTTTAATATAACAATTAACAATAGGTTTTCTAATAAATTCAACAAGTCTGGCAATCGGAAATAATATTTTTGAAAATTTTTACAACTTCAATATAACTGTTAACAACTTTTGTAACGCTATTAACAACTTCAGTATATCAGTTAACAATAGATTTTTCAGAAAATTCAACAATTGGTCGCTAGAGCTCTGGTAGAGAAAAATAATTTTTTTGAAAATTTTTACAATTTCAATACAATGATTAACAATTTTTGTAACCCTATTAACAATTTCAGTATAGCAGTTAACAACAGGCTTTTGAGTTTATTTACAGCATTACTGAAGTTATAAAAATGCCACTTTTTGAATTTTTCAAAAAACCTGTTATTAACTATTATATCGAAGTTGTTAATCGTTATACTAAAATTGTAAAAATTTTAAAAAAAACGTAATTATTAACGTTATACTAAAAGTAAAATTTTTTACAACTTCAGTATAACAGTTAACAATTTTTGTAATGTTATTAATAACTTCAATATAGTAGTTAACAATAAGTTTTTTGAGAAATTCAACAATTGATCGTCGGAGTTCCAACGGCCGAAAACAATTTTTTTTGAAAATTTTTACGTCAGTATAACGGTTAACAACTTTTGTAATGATATTAATAACAAGTTTTTTCGAGAAATTCAAAAACTAGTAATTTTACAATTTCAATAATGTCGTTAACAAGTTCTATATCTCTGTTAACAATTTCAGTATAGTATTTAACATGTTTTCGAAAAATTAAAAAAAATAGCATTTTTACCACTTTGGCAACTACTTTTTTTTTAAAAATTTTTTTATAATTTCAATATAACCGTTAACAACTTTTATAATGTTATTAACAACTTTAGTATAGCAGTTAATAACAAATTTTCTGAAAAATTCAAAAATTAACATTTTTACAATTTCAGTAATACCGTTAACAAACTTTGTAACTCTATTAACAGTTTCGGTATAGTATTTAACAATATGTTTTTTTAAAAATTAAAAAAAATGGCATTTTTATAACTTTAACAATTACGTTTTTCTTTTTGAAAATTTTTACAACTTCAATATAACGGTTAACAACTTTTGTAACTCTATTAACAACTTCGATATAGCAGTTAACAATAACTTTTTTGGAAAATTCAAAAAGTGACATTTTTATAATTTCAGTAATGCCGTTAACAAACTCAAAAACCTGTTGTTAAACACTATACTAAAATTGTTAATAGAGTTACAAAAATCGTTAACTGTTATACTTGTAAAAATTTTCAAAAAAATTTGTTTTCCTCCGTTGGAGCTCCTGCGACTAATTGTTGAATTTTTCAAAAAATCTGTTGTTAACTGATATACTGAAGTTGTTAATAGCATTACAAAAGTTGTTAACGGTTATATTTAAATCGTAAAAATTTTCAAAAAAAATTGTTTCCGGTCGCTAGAGCTTGTTGAATTTCCTAGACAACTTATTGTCAACTGCTATACTAAAGTTGTTAGTAACATTACAAAAGTTGTTAACCGTTATACTGAAATTGTAAAAATGTTCAAAAAAAATTTTTCTAACCGACAGAGATCTGGTGACCAATTGTTGGCTGGTCACCGGAGTTTCGGTGACTACCGCCACCGGAGCTCCGATGACCGGTCGGCCAGTAGGAGCTGTGATATTTTAAAAACAATATTTAAAATGAAGGGTAAGTTGGTCTTTTATTTTAACATGATAATTCCAATTTGGTCTCAAGATTTCTCAAATTTAGTAGACGATTTGGGGATTATGAAATTCAAGTGGTATTTTTCTGTCTTTTTCTCTTATTTTAATTCAATTATTTCGAGAAAACCTCATCATGATTGGGGGGAAATATTATATGAAAGGAAATTAAATCAAAATTGGATTTAAAAATCATTCAAGTTAACTTCAGATACTTTCATTTCCTCAGTGTTGATTTATTCAACACAAAGGAAAAGAGAAATTGAAAAAATAAAAACAGATAGGGAAAGAATGGACTGAAGTGAACTGACCAGGATGTAGACTAGAGAAGCTCCAATGATGGTTCGATAGCGTCCAAGATAGGAATCGGCGATGAAAGCACCCAACAGAGGCAGCAACGACGCCGTTCCCTCCCAAACGTTCACATTCTTCGCCGCCGCCGCCGTGCTCTGATGAAGCGGCCCCGTCAAGAAAGTGATGAGGTTGGATCCTATCCCGTAGAACGCGATCCTCTCTCCCACTTCCACACCTTCATGCACAGAATAATCAATTTCCTCATTATATGTGTGTGTATATACATATAGAGAGAGAGAGAGAGATTGAGTGTGAGAATACCTATGATGAAGCATGCTGATCTCCAATTGCCAGACTTGGATCTGATCGCCGGTCGGCCTTTGTAGTCAACGGCGCCGTTCATTGTCTCGAGACGCAAAAGCGGAGTTCCCGGTTCGGAATCCTGCAAAATGGCGTCGGATCGGTGGAGGAGGGCCATTTCTGATTTTTGGTTCGAAAGGAGGACTTATCAAAGAAGGTTCACATTAATGTAGGAACTTTAATATGGTATTGCGTCCGCCGATGGCTCTTCGGGTTGCCCACATGAATTGGAGAAAAGTCCACTTCGGTGACATCAGGAGTTGGTAAGGCCCCTTTTTTAATCCCCACACTTTGTCCCACTTGTTCTTTCTGTTATTTCCTGCAAATATGGATGTGGTTTTTTCCGTAGCTTTTGTGCTCGGAGAATTTCGGTAAATTTTTAACATAAACATATCATTTTACTCTTTGTTTATTATTATTATATACTACTGTAGTAAAGTAAAGTGTATATATTAGGTAGAAATAAAATAAAAAATTTGTTAAATTTTACAGCAAAATTAATGAAATTTAAATTTTTTATTAATTTTAAAAAAACATATTAGAAGTAACTTATAAATTATAAACAAGATAAAAAAAAGGTATATAATTTTTAAGAAAACAATCATTTTAGTTCTCATAGTTGATGATTATAATTGGTTTTCAAACGGATCCTAAATAAAAATTTCCTTGCATATTACATAATTATTTGGGAATATAAATGGTTTCATTCGGCAAATCATTTTCGTGTGCTTGCATTAGTGACGAGGAAAATAAATTTTGTAAAAAATTATTATCCATCAAGTTTGCTTTTTTTTTTTTGTTTTGTCTTTCAAGTTTCAAACTATAAGTTTTGGTCTCCCAAGTTTTTTTTTTCATTTAAAACATTGGTTTCTATAATTTTATAAAATCTTGAATCATTTTACTCCTTGAAAGACTAAAATATGATATTTGAAACTTGAGAGATCACAACTAAAATGATAGCAAACTTAAAGAGCCAAAAATTATATCAACCCTTTTTCAAAAAAAGTATATTAGCCCAAAATTAATTATTTATAAAATTAGCATTCGTGAATTTTGATTCATAATAATTTATTATTAAAATTTTTTTGAATAAATTATGTCTAAATTAATTTTTCAGTTCAAATTTTAATATGTTTAACAAAATCAAGATTTTATCAGATATAATTAATTATAAATTAAGTTGAAACAAATACCTAATTGTTGTCGATGATGTCGTTTAGGGTGTCAAGATGTAGGAGTGGATCTGAGAATGAGGGTTATTTTTTATATTATATTTTTACATTTGTTAATAATATTGAATTATATATAATTTATTTATTTTCTTTTATTATATTTAATTTCAAAAAAGGCATTCACTTTTTTATCTTGAAAAATAAAATTTTTCTCTAAATTAGCTAGTCTTAAAATATGCATGAAAATATATGTTTATCAAATAATTTGATTTTAAATTATTTGATGATGCTAATGCTAAGATGGTTTTTTTATTGTAATATTTAATTTAATTTTAAACATATTATATTTTTTATATAGAAGTATATTTTAATCACTTAGATATTTGCTTATTTTATCTTTCCCTTATTTTTCTCTTACTCTCCCAAAGAAAAGGGTTAATAATGTAAAATGTCAAATTTTGTTTATGAATTTAATCAATATTATGACAAGATTTATTAACTAACTTGAAATTTAGAGTACATTAAAGTTTGGAAACAGAAAATTTGAAAAAGAATGAAATATAATTGAAAATTATTTTATAAAAAGAAGTGCAACATTATAGGTAATAAATGTTTTATATTTATTTCAATTTAAAACAATTGTTTCAAGACAAATGAAATTTTTTATGTAATTATTTGCGTAGATAGAATTTTTAAAAAAAATATAATTCAAAAAATAATAAAATAATAAAAATAAAAGTAGAAATAAAGATATGAATAAAATAAACAAAATAGAAAATATAGAAAATGAAAAAGATTAAGAGAAAATTGCATTGAGGTCCTATAGTAGAGAAAATAGAGCTAAAAAGTCCCTGAAAGTCTTTTATTAATCACAAGTCCCAAAGAGACCTCAGAGCGACTTAGCAAAATAAGAGTAGAATTCTTTACCCTTCATAATATAGGCAGAAAAATTACTGAAAAAAAGGGAGAATTATGCATCTTGAAATCTTGGGCATGAAAAAGCAGAGCAGAATGTCTCTATTGTGTGTTGTCCCCACTTCGTCTCCATTTAAATAAAACGATGCCGTTTTGCAACTTTTCAGCAATCCAACGTCTTTTATACACGCAGTGATGCCATTTTGCTATAGACAAGTTTGATGTTATATATTAGAAAGCAAAAAAGAAAGAAAAAACAATTCATTGCCGTCGCCCTGTGGTCTTTCTCATCCCTGCTCAGATCTCATCATCATTTAGAGAGGTGAGATTCCACTCATGAGATATGATAATCACTCCCAGCCTATGAACCCCAATATGGAAGTTGGGTTTTATTCCCAAGACCATTTCAAATTCCTCCTTCTCACCTTCCCTTGTTTTCACTCTTCTATTGTCACATCCCTTCTTTGCTCAATCCTCATCTAACAAAATCACTTCCCCAAGTTTAGGTGTGTTATTGGATGGCTTCAACCTTCAAAGTAGGAATCAAAGGAGACAATGTGCAATGGAGACATTCCTTCTTCTCCATCACAATTAGCAAAGTTCATGCACCTTCCTTCTTCATCTTCTCAGTCAATTTCAAGGTTTAAAAGTTTCTTTCCTCTCCTCAGAACATCTTAGTCGATAGAGTAGGTTTGGGTATGGGTATGTTGAAAATCATTCTGCCCTTGACCTTCAGTCTTCATCGTCTTGGCCAATTTCAAGGTTCAAAAGTTTCTTTCTTCTCTTCTTCTAGAACATTTTGGTGGACATATTAGGCTAGGGTATAGGTATATTGAAAATCATCTACCCTTTACTTGTTGTAGAGCTTCCATTTTTGGTCTAATATGAATAAATTAAGCAAATCAAAGCTTTTATTTTTGGTTTGGTGTATGTTAGTGATTTGAGTTGAGGTTTGCTATAGGTGGGTAAGATGATGATGAATGCTCTATTTTTTGATATATTGTGGGTGGGTTGATAATGGTTTTGCTCTGTTTGAACATGGTTAATTGAGAATAAATGAAAAAGATGAAGGTTGGTGCATGTGAAAACTCTTACTGCAAAGTAAGATATTGTGTTATCAATATAGGCCATGATAGTTGTAAATATAGGCCGTGATAGTTGTCAATATTGCTATTTCACTTATTAATGATGACTGTGTGATACAGGTTTACATTAAAGAAGGGGAGTACGTCCAAAAAATATCTATTTTATTTTTTTTTCATATAGAGGGTAAGTTTATAAATGGTGAAGAATATGATATAAAATATGTTGGGGTACTGTAAGAACAAGAAGTCTAAAAAAAAAGCACAGGTTATGAAGAACTAAATGAAATTACATCATTGTCATTTCTTGGAAAAGAAAGTAATTCTTTTGATTTGAAATTCTTATGTATGTATTATAAAAATACATTTATGGAGTTGGTAGATAATAAAGGGACGGAGTATTTAATAAAGTTCAATAAAAAAAAGTGGTCATATGTATGTAGAAAGAATGGCAATAATGACCATACAGAAGCAATAAGGAATGATGCAATGAAGGAGATAGATATGTAGGTTTAGTTTGGGTTTTTTTTTTTTGTATTTTCACTTTTTGCTATGTAAGTTGTTGGTGACATGCTGCTAAGTTGTCATTATTTACACCCTAACTTGTCATTTACCACAGGATTAATCAATTTTTTAGAGATGTAAATGGATTGCCTATGTCTGTACTTAACCTGTTTAATGAAATTGGAGAGCGACCGTCAATTTCATGTGTTATAGAAGATGCAATAAAGCTGAACATGCTAACTATTAAGACATGCAAGAATCCAAACCCTAATTGAGAACATGTTATGGAAGCCTTTCTTCTTCTTTTTTTGTAAATGGCTGTAAATGGAATCTTTTATATGTGTGGTAATACACACCAATAATTAGTTTGATATTGGATACATAGTAACTCATATGTTCTATTTGGGATGGGTTGTAAAGTTAGTGAAATTACATATATATGAAGCTATGAATAAAAGTTGACTATAAAATGGTATGTTCAATTCTAATGTGTAAGCAATTGTAATTATATGCAACTTGCATTGTCAATACATGCTTTCGTACTTGTCAATCATTACATTATCACTTGTCAATTTATCTGCTGATATAAATTTGGTCATAATGTCATATAAATATAATATGAGGTTCAGTATAATGTCATATAAAATCTCTAATAACATACTTATTATCATTGATATAAATCACTTGTTATTCACTGCACCTTGACTTGTCACTAGTTATTATTAGACTTGTCAATGGCTTCACAATCACTTATTAATAGTGATATTATGACTTGTCAATAGTTAGACTTGTCCCTTTTTAATGGCGTTCAATTAACATAACTTTTAGCAATATATTTTAGTTATAATGAGTTATCACATGCTATGATATTTGTATTTTAAGATTATATTATTCAATAGTAAATTTGAAATTAAGAATACCTTTAGTTGTCAATGTTTCTTATATCAGTTGTTAATATCTATACCCGGACTTGTCAGTAATTACACTATTACTTGTTAAATTTCCTGATGATATATATTTTATGTTTTTTTTTCAAAATATAAGTAAATAAATGGAATTAAACATAATTGGACCGATTCCTGCTACATGTAACATATGGAGACATTGATGTTCGAAAAAAAAGAGTAAGTAATCATATTATATACAATTCAACATAATTAGATTGGTTCTTATTACAAAGTGAGTTATTAACTAGAGGGCTCTAGTCATTTCTAATGCCTAAATTGTCAATAGCGTTATCTCTTCTTGATTTGGTTGAAATCCAGTAGCATTGATAGTACTTTATCCCTATGTTTGTTGTTTTTATAAGTAACCAACCATTATAAGCATCTAATCTTAAACTCTTGTATTTCATTCTTCAACTATTGTGGCATAGTAAATCTTACACTATCACGAACAGTGCCATCTCACTTATATAGCCATGAGAAGACATGAATGCCATACTAATCACTATAAACAAAATTTAATGTGTAAGGATCATACGAATTTGATTACAAACCACAATAAGCAAATTAATTTAGTATAG